AATCGTGTCTAGTGATGACCAGAAATGTATTTACTATGAAAGTTGTTACGTAAATTACCATAGGGTCTATTTACAGAATCGTGTCTAGTGATGACCAGAAATGTATTTACTATGAAAGTTGTTACGTAAATTACCATAGGGTCTATTTACAGAATCGTGTCTAGTGATGACCAGAAATGTATTTACTATGAAAGTTGTTACATAAATTACCATAAGGTCTATTTACAGAATCATGTCTAGTGGTGACCAGAAATGTATTTACTATGAAAGTTGTTACGTAACTTACCATAGGGTATATTTACAGAATTGTGTCTAGTGATGATCAGAAATGTATTTACTATGAAAGTTGTTACGTAACTTACCATAGGGTCTATTTACAGAATTAAGTGTAGTGATGACCGGAAATGTATTTACTATGAAAGTTGTTACGTAAATTACCATAGGGTCTTTTTTCAAAAGTTAAATTGTTCTTCAGTTAAATTAAAATATTTTTCCCATTTTGATTTCTTTGAAGTTAAGCACAATGCTACACAATGGGCTATCTGTGCTGTGCCCACCACGGGTATCGAAACCCGGTTTCTAGCGTTGTAAGTCCGCAGACATACCACTGTGCCACTGGGGCTTTTCCATTTTGATTTATTTAAACGTGAATGTTATTTGTTGTTGTTTTTTATAACAACTTCGGAGCCCGGCATGGCCAAGCGGTTAGTTTGTTCGACTCGCAGTCCTCTGGTCGCGGGTTCGAATCACCGTTCCACCAAACATGCTCGCCCTTTCAGCCGCGGGGACGTTATAATGGGACGGTAAATCCCACTATTCATGGGTAAAAGAATTGGCGGTGGGTTGTATTGACTAGTTGCCTTCCCTCTAGTGCAGGTAGCCCTCGTGTAGCTTTGCGTGAAATAAAAAAAAAATTAAAAAATATTTTCCGCATTTTGATTTATTTAAACGTGAATGTTTTTTAATAGTCCTCCTAATGGCACAGCGGTGTATCTGCAGACTTACAACATTAGAAACCGGGTTTCGATACCCGTGGTGGGCAGATCACAGATAGCGCGTTGTGTAGCTTTGTGCATGATTACAAACAATCAATTTTTTTAATAACTTCGGTATGTTTTTTATCATTTATGAGAGTGCACCCTTGTCGCTCAGCGGTAAGTCTGTGGGTTTACAACTAAAAATAGGGTTTCGTCATAATTTATATTCTTTAAACATTTATTTAGAAGTGCAAATGTTTAACATGACAATGTAACCACGGAACACGTATTTTTATGTACAACCAACGTACTAGCCAATGAAATCGCAACTTGTTTAGTAGAGCCAATCGCGTGATTACATGTTAAAAATTATTCATGACGTTAGGAAAACATATAGGTTCAAAGAATTAATTAAAGATAAAAATACGAAACCCCGTAACCCAAGCGCTTTCGAAAGATGACTCTTTCTTCATCGGGGCAACCTGGAAATGACTAAGAAATTATATTATCCAATGAAATTGAGACACTTGAGTTATGGAACCAATGATGCTTTGCCGCGTTGCTTATTTAGAGGTTTATAATAACTTATACTGAAGTAGGCTTAACGACACATCATTCAATGATGCCACAGGAATACAGATGTGAAGTGTGAAGGGACGGATATCAAATCCAAGTAATAAGGGGGGGGGGTAAGTAGGTTGGTGAAAAGAGAAGAAAACTCTTGTTGAAGATAGTGTTCCAAATGCTCTCAGCATTACTCTTTTCCAAACTCTATACGTATGATCACGCCCTCTAGGTAACCGTAAATATGATAAAATTTATCCAAGCTACGCTTCTTTTACCCATTCCTCTCCAGATTCTAACTGAAGGCATTGTAGTTTCCCTGTATCTTAGATTTGGACAGATCAGCCTCGAGGATTGGTATCAAATGATCCTTTTGTGTGGGATTGTTTGGCTTAACTGGATGTGTTCATTGAACCAAGCCTGCATTAGAGAAGGAATGCTGACTAACTGGATGTGTTCATTGAACCAAGCCTGCATTAGAGAAGGAATGTTGACTAACTGGATGTGTTCATTGAACCAAGCCTGCATTAGAGAAGGAATGTTGACTAACTGGATGTGTCCATTGAACCAAGCCTGCATTAGAGAAGGAATGTTGACTAACTGGATGTGTCCATTGAACCAAGCCTGCATTAGAGAAGGAATGTTGACTAACTGGATGTGTCCATTGAACCAAGCCTGCATTAGAGAAGGAATGTTGACTAACTGGATGTGTTCATTGAACCAAGCCTGCATTAGAGAAGGAATGTTGACTAACTGGATGTGTCCATTGAACCAAGCCTGCATTAGAGAAGGAATGTTGACTAACTGGATGTGTCCATTGAACCAAGCCTGCATTAGAGAAGGAATGTT